AGAACTTCAAAAAATAAAACATGTAATAATTGGAATGAGTAATGCAGTGAATGGATTAAACAGGAGATTAGTCCTGGCTGAAGATAAGATAATTGAAATATAGAACTGAGCAAGTTACACTGACTGCAGCCCAGAGAGAAGATATGGGAAGTGTGATGGTGAGATTAAAGAACAAGATAGTGTGAAGAGGTCTGATGTATGCTTAATTGGGATTCTGAAAGGCAGTTTTCAAAGGTACTAGTGAGACTTGTGTAGATTTAAACATTCAACTACAGGTTTTGGAATTCCAAGAAAGAATTTTTAAAAATCCATGCATACAACATTTTAATGAACCTGCAGAATAGAAAATACAAAGAGATCTGAAAATCATCCAGAGAAAACTAAATTCCCAGATCGCTGATTTCTCACCAGAAGCAGTGGAAGCTGGAAGACAGCGGAATGGCATCATTGAAGGGCTGTGATCTAGAATTCTATATCCAATGAAATTATTTTTCAAGAACAGCAGTAAAACAAAGTCATTTTCTGAGGCTACCAAAAGACTCTCTAAAGGGTATGTTTACAGAATGTTCTTCAGAAAGAAATCAGCGGGGCTGGCCCGGTGGCCGAGTGGTTAAGTCCACGCGCTCCGCTGCAGGCGGCCCAGTGTTTTGTCAGTTCCAATCCTGGGCGCTGACATGGTACCGCTTATCAAGTCACGCTGAGGCGGTGTCCCACATGCCACAACAAGAAGGACCCACAACTAAGAATATACAACTACGTACCTGGGGGCTTTGGGGAGAAAAAGGAAAAAAATAAAATCTTAAAAAAAAAAAAAATCAGTAATCCCAGAAGGAAGCATGAACTACAAAAAGAAACAGAGCAAAGAATGTATTTGTAAATCTAAACAAACACTGAGCGTTTAAAGTAGTAACATTAATGGGTAATTTCTAGAGTTAAGAAAAATCCAATGTGTAACTATAATCATTGGGAGCTCCTATGTGTCAAGAAGTAGATAATCAGAGTTTTGTTTGAGAAACAAACAAGTCTGTTTCTCAAACAGACTTTCTGTTTTGTTTGAGAAAAGCTGAAAAATATTAATAACTTTAGACTTTGTGATGTTAGGTATCCATGATCAAATACTTAAGATAACCACTAAATAATATAATGTATAACATCCAAACTAGTACAGGGAAAAAAAAATACAGAAATGAACATGAATATATCAATAGATACAGTCTCTGTAAATGGACTCGAATTAAAGACAAAGATAGTTAGCCTAGCTTCAAAAAGACATTCCATTTACGAGATATACCTAATATGAACACAGAAGGTTTAAAAGTAAAAGGAGCAAAAAGGTATACAATTTAAATACTAACCAGATATCTTTAATTTTTTCTTTGACTGCAAGAATCATAGAGTGTTACTACGTATTCATAAATGGTTTGTTTCACTGGAAAGATTTAATAATTCCATTCTAAATAAAATAAAAATCAATAGAACTGCAAAGAACATTAAGTCCACAATATAATGAACAAGCGTAACGTAATGGACTTATGAAGAACAACTGGAGAATATACATCCTTTGAAGCACATGGAACATTTATAAAAATTGATCACATACTTGATCATTGTGTGGGTCTCACAAAATTCAAACAATTGGTTCATAAAAATTATCTTTTTTTATCACAAAGTAATCAAGTTATTGACTGATAGCAAAAACATAACTAAATACCTATATATATTTGAAAATGTTAAATCATATTCCTAAATAACCCATGGACCAAAGAACAGACCAAAGCAGAATTAAAAACAGAGATCTTATGATCCAGTAGCACTTGCATTAATTAATAATAGATACAACGAAATACAAGAACAACAGACTCATAAAGGGAGTTTGACATTTGAATAAAAATAACTTACACCCTGAATTCATATGCAATAGAGCCTAATGAAGGGTCATAGTAAATAATTGCTAGATTCAGGGGAAAATTAGTTTGGGGCTTACAAAAGAAATATTTTTTCTTTTAACACTCGATCATTTTTCTGATGATTAATGTGGCACAACCAAATATCAGAAAGGTCAGATAATTATGAGTACATCAAAATTAAATATTGTGTATAACAACCTAAAATTGCCATAAACAAGATCGTTATGTTCCAAATAACAACTTTGGAAATGTATACACAACAGATATGATGGAAAGGCAGTGAGAAATTTGAACAAAAGGCATGAAAAGGTTATTCACAAAGCAAGAAATAGAAATAGCTAATAAATATTTGAGAAGATGCATAACATCAAATGTCATCAGAGGGGATAAAACAGAGAACCAACAAGAAGATAACATTTTTCTCATGTCAGATTGGCAAGGATGAAAAAGATGGAAAAACTCATACGTAGGAATTTATGTACACAGGGGTTTGTCCAAATATTTTCTCTGTTCTTCATATTGTCATTCAAGCTTATGGTCTTTCCTTTTTTGTCATGCACAAACATTTGATGTTTTATGGTAATGTTTATTAATCTTGCAGTTTTTAGGATTGGTTTTATTACTTTCGTCTGCTGTTAACAATTTGACCATATATTCTGTACTCTTTGATCCAGTAATTCTACTTCTAGGAATTGGCCCCAAGGTATACAATTATATACTCCAGATTCTTCTTCGTAGCCTTATTAATATTAGTGAAAAACTGTGTAAATTTACAGGAATAGAGGATTTGTTAAAGATGCTATGGTGTGTGTGTGTGTGTGTGCTTACAGAATATATATATTTGCCATTTCAAAGATTATGTAGAATAATACCATTTAAATGATACATAGATTAATGTTTATATAGAAAGATAGGCATGACTTTACTAAGTGGAAAAAGCAGGATGTATCTCTTTTGTGTAAATGCGTGCGTGTATCTATGAGTTGTAAGCAGCAACTTGTTTATAGTTGCACAAACTGTAGTCATGTCCCCTGACAAGTGTGGTCTGGGGCACCTGTGCTGTAAAATAAAAAGCACTTTAAAAAAATGGAATTTGAAGGGCCTGAGTTTTAGTCACTGTTTGGCCGCTTTCAGCTGTCCCTTTATGTCTCAGGGCCTCCTTAAGTGCCCTCATTTCTAAAAATGAGGGAATGGGGGTGAGCATTGGATTTGAGTAGCAATGACAAATGCCCCCTGATGGTGTCACATCCTTCTTCTGCATCCAGGGCAGACATTAGTCATTAGTCCTGGTTGTCTTCCTCTGGGCTCAGCCTTCTCAGCACACTGTCATGGGCCACCATTTCTAAACAGATTGTGCTTTGCGCGTGAAATTTCTTTGCCATCCTTGGATAAGATTATCTTAGAAGTCCGTTCAGCTAGAAGATTTTTCTGTACAAGGAACCAAGTTATTGTGGTGAGAAATAGGGGGGATATCTTTCAGAAAAAATTGTTTACTTTTCTAGTAGCCACATTTTTAAAAAGCTGTAGAAAAGGTGAAAACATACGGGTGAAATAAATTTTGATAATTTTTACTAAATAAAATATTTCAATATGTAATTGATATAAAACAATTATTAATGGGATATTCACCTTCTTGTTTTTATCATATCAAATCTTTGAAATCCAGTGTGTATTTACAGTACATCCCATTTTATTTTATTATTTTTTTTTGTTTTGGGTTTTTTGTTTAAGAAAAATTGTCCCTGAGCTAACGTCTGTGCCAGTCTTTCTCCATTTTGTATATGGGACGCTGCCACAGCATGGCTTGCTGAGTGATGTGTGGGTCTGTGCCTAGGATCCACACCTGTGAACCTCGGGCCACCAAAGCGGAGTGCACGAACTTAACCACTGTGCCACCAGGCTGGGGCCCCAAGCACATCCCATTTTAGATGGTAGATTTTCATTGGAGATACTTGACTTGTATTTATGTTTACAGTTGAAGAAGTAGGTTCTCCTATACCCACATTCTTACATTTTTTTAAAAATTATTTTATTGAGATCATATTGGTTTATAACATTGTGCAGATTTCAGGTATATATTATTATATTTCAGCTTCTGTATAGACTGTGTCCCATTCACCACTAACAGTCCAGTTTTTATCTATCATCATGCATATGTGCTCCTTTACCCCTTGTGTCCTCCTCTGCCCTCTTCCCCTGTGGTAACCACCAATCCATTCTCCTTATCTGTATGTTTGTTTATCTTTCACATATGAGTGAAATCATACAGTATTTGTCTTTCTCTGTCTGACTTACTTCACTTAGCATAATACCCTCAAGGTCCATCCATGTTGTCTCAAATGTCTTTTTTGTGGCTGAGTAGTATTCCACTGTATATACATATACTACACCTACTTTATCCGTTCATCCATTGATGGGCACTTCCAAGTCGTGGCTATTGTGAATAGTGCTACAATGAACATGAGAGTGCATATATCTTTTTGAATTAGTGTTTTCATGTTCTTTGAATAAATACCCAGAAGTGGAATAGCTGATTCGTATGGTATTTCCAATTTTAATCTTTTGAGGGATCTCCATACTGTTTTCCATAGTGACTCTACCAGTTTGCATTCCCACCAGCAGTGTATGAGGGTTCCCTTTTCTCCACATCATAAAAATTAACTTAAGTTTTTAAATAATTGAATTGAGTACTAGTTTTTTAATTTAATTAAAATTAAAATGGAGATAAGGTCATACTAGCCACATTTCAAGTACCCAAGAGCCACATATGGCTGGTGGTTACCATATTAGAGAGTGGAAGCTTGGAGAATACAAAGAAACATACAATTCCTTTTTAGCCTTCAAGGAGATTTTCTAGTTGGGAAAGCAAGATATCAAAAATAAACACACCAAGAACATTATCCAAAGCAGAATGTAATGAAGTGCTAAATGTTTGCTGTGGACAGACTTAGTGCTACTTGGGTAGGAAGCTCCAGAAACACCCACAGCTTGATACATTCTTCACTACTTTGAAGTCTGGGTGGTGGCAGTGCTGTGTTGAGTTTGTGAGAATGGAGTGTCTTACCTTAGAAAGTGTGTGTGTTCTCCCTGCAGACATGGGACCCGCTGTGCTGGAGAAGTGGCAGCCGCAGCAAACAACTCGCACTGCACAGTCGGAATTGCTTTCAACGCCAAGATTGGAGGTATGGGAAACACACTTAGGTGGATAGAGAAATAGCCAAGAGCTCTTGCGCTAACTGATTTTCAGGCCCCTTTTTGAACTAAAGACAGGCATATGTTTGCATGGTAGTGTTCAACTGTTGCTGACAGCAAAATGACCACGTTAACATGGGTTATTAAATACGGTTAATGGCTTCTGAGCCAGTATCTCTGAAGTGTCACAAGCACAGACATTTCTTTCTTTAAACCAGCATGAAAAAACATTGCCCAATAGTGAAAATGGGGTCGTTGACATCTGTACCGAACTATACAATTGGTGTTTGGGTCAGAAAGAACTAATAATATAAACAATAGGCCATAATATCTCTGTGGAAGGCAGCACTTTGAAATTCTGTTAGAGCAGAAAATCTTTTTTTTTCTTTTCCACAGCCTTTATAAAAATCTCCTTTTAACTGCAATTAAAATGGTAAATGGTAAAATCTATTTTTGAAGTCCCGTAATGTAGTGAGACTGTTAACATTAATAATTCCGGATTATATATAAACATACATACACATGCGAAAGCTCAAATTTTCATATGCTACTACAAGGCTCCAACCAAAGCAGTATAAATCCAGGCGTTAACAGAAGCAAACTCTTACTTTCCCATTTGTAATCAGCTTTGTTAGTACAGCCGGCTGCCACAGCCACTCACAAAAGGAAGAAAACATCGGGAGAGACGGTACAGATCCTAATGGCTTTGAAGTGTCCTGTGGAGGTGTCCTAAAGGGTGTCATAAGATAAATGAAGTTCCTGGAACCAGGCTGACACCCTTGTTTCCAATGCATTATTTGTTTGCACGTGGTAAATGGAGTTGGATCTAAAAGATAAAAATGAGTCCTTTCTAGGGTAAATGTAGAGATCTTGTAACATGAATTATTTTGGGTATATAATAATGGTGCTAAGAAAAGATTTTCTGCGACTGCCTTGATTGTCAGTCCTCAGTAAACGTGACCTCTTTCCTTTATTTCACCCTGAATTCTTAGAGGACGGCAGCTTGTTAACCAGTAATTAGCTGCGCTCTGAGAGCATCTGCTGTGTGTCAAGGGGAGTGTTTATGGAGGAGCTGGGGAAGGCAGACAAAGACTTCCCCATGAAGAATGATGAGGGTGCTGGAGGCCCCTGCTCTTCTGAAGACAATCAGATGACTGGTGGCCATCTGATCAACCCTTCTTGCTGTCCGGGACACACAGTCTCACATACACAGCCACACATCCATGTCCCCGTCATCACTCTCCAATGCTAACCCAGCGCTCACTGACCTTGAGGGGATGAAGGGGTGAACTTGTGAACCTCACAGATAAACTGCTGACCTAGCTGACTGAACAGGACCTCAGGAAAAAAAATGAATGTGTGGCAATGACTCACAAATGTTCTGTCGTCCTAAGAACGAGAACATTCTGAATTATAAATTTAACCCCTCAGACCCAGGAATGAAGGCTTGTAGTTAAATGAAGACAAAGCAGCCTTTCATCTTTAAACTTGAGGAAAGGAAATTTTTACTCATCAATTTTTGGTTAGAAAATTAATATTACCCTCTGGATATGATTTTATCGAGCCTTTTCTTCATGAACTTCACATAAATTGCATGACATAGAAACTGAATTCAGGTGTTGTGTGGATACTCCTGCATGTTGGCATTTAGAGCTGGTAGATACTCCAGGGTTTATTTCAGACCTCCCTGTACTGGGAAAATCGTTCCATTTTTTGCTTTTAAATAGGAAGTAAGGTTTCTTTGTTAAAAACTGTGCAGATGTATTTTGAATATTCATGTGAAATGAAAAACCAATGGCTGCTCAGGACCCAGTACACCCAGAGCATCTTGCTGGGTATCCTGCCCCCACAAAACAAACTGTTGACAAGTTTTCTAAGTACAATTTGCATTCCGTAATTTTTAAAGGGACTTGTTCATAAACTTTGTTCTCCCCCTCACCTGTTTATATATGTCCCCTTTAAAAATCCAGAAGTCTGGAGAAGACAGTCAAGAGATACAGTAACCAAATGCAATGTCTTGAGAAATGCTTTGGGGAAACTTAATGTTCACTGAGTGTTTGTTTCCATTTTTTTATTTTTGGAAAAAATATTAAAGGATAGAGTGTCACAACTGTCATGGAATTTAAAATGATTTAGCCTGATATTTATATTTTTAGATGAAGAAAATGTGACAAAATGTTAGCAGTTGTTGAGTACTGGCTATACCAATTCGTTGTCATTCTTTCTGTTTTTTCGGTGTTTTTTAGTTTTGTCATTAAAAGGTAAACATATTTTTGAAAGCATAAAGAAGATATAGTTGCTTCAAGAGTATTTTTATTTTCTATCAGAATTCCCACTTCAAACCACATAGTATCTAAAGTTGCCTGATTTGGGGTTTTATTATTTAACCCCATTTATTGGTGACCAATAAAAACTTGAAATCCTACTAGATAACTAGGTTTTCCTAAGGAGTAAATTTGGGCTCTAAAGATATAATTTTAAAATAATATAATATCTCAGTGATGGTATTTAGCTTAAGCTGAAGGAGAGAGATGTTTACTTAACAATTAAATGTTTTATTATTGTGAGTCTCCAAAGTAAAAGGAAAAAAGGAAAGCCTAACATTGGATGTATAATTTATTTTTTAGTATCTTACTGTCCATTTTTGCAAATTAAGGTTAATAATAAATTCCTATCTGTCTGGCGGAAATATACTTAAATGAAGATTAATGACTACACATTGCTAAAACCCTTTGAGAATTATTTGATGTGTTACATGCACAGAGAACGTTCTCCCTTATTCGACTTATAAATTACTTGGCAAAAAAATAATATGGTAAGTTCCCATCAGTCTTACAGATTAGGAGATAATGTTAAATATGGAGGAAATTAGACCAACCTAACTTGGCAGCTTTCCAGATTTTGTAAGACTGCTGAGGTCAGAAAGTTTTGCACCGATTATGAACACAAGTTATCTAATGAAGAGAAATTTAGGGAAGATGGATTGCTTGAGTCTCTCTTTGTCAAGTACTCACTTTAAGACAGGAATAAAGAGAAGGGAGAGATTGTGGAAACTTAGAAAAAGAGAATAGGGCCGGCCCAGTGGCACAGCGGTTAAGTGCGCACGTTCTGCTTTGGCGGCCTGGGGTTCGCTGGTTGGGATCCCGGGTGTGGACATGGCACTGCTTGGCAAGCCATGCTGTGGTAGGCGTCCCACATATAAAGTAGAGGAAGACGGGCATGGATGTTAGGTCAGGGCCAGTCTTCCTCAGCAAAAAGAGGAGGATTGGCAGCCGTTAGCTCAGGGCTAATCTTCCTCAAAAAAACAAAAAAGTAGTGGGTGAAAAAGAGTTTAAATAAGTTTTGCTCTTTTACATGCAGTGTAACTTCCTTTCTCCCCAGGAAAGCTTCGGAAAGGTCTGCCTTATCCTTTTCTGAGGAAAATATACTCAAGTGTTGGTTAGAAGTTTATTCTTTCCCCAAAAAAATGCTATCACTGGAATATGTCTTGGGCTGTTTGGGGGTTATATAGCAAAGCCTCTAATCGAGCTACGTCCCTTCTGTCTTGAAGGAGTCCGAATGCTAGATGGAGATGTGACGGACATGGTTGAAGCGAAATCGGTTAGCTTCAATCCCCAGCACGTGCACATCTACAGTGCAAGCTGGGGCCCAGATGATGATGGCAAGACCGTGGATGGACCAGCTCCACTCACCCGGCAAGCCTTTGAAAATGGCGTTAGAATGGTAGGTTTCAAAAGCACCTGGGCTCATATTATGCCAGTCAGTGATGATTATCATATGAAGCCGTCTACAAAACTCTGGGTTCTGATCCTCCACTCTGGAGGAATGGATGGAGCTCATAGGCTGAGCCAGGAGACGAGTCAATGGCAAGAGGTGCTGAACCTTTGGGATTGTGTATTTTATCTGGTGTGCAAATGAACTAAGAGCTAGCGCTTCCCCTAACGAGAAAAGAGGTATATTTGGGTGCTTAGATCTGCTCAAAGGAAATATTTTCATTAATGTGTTAATCTTGCATTTGGAAAAGTAAATTCTTGGGAGTGTGCGATTGAGAAGTGGAGATGTTGAAACTCTCCGCTTGGTGTTGGTACGTCATTCTACAATGCCCTTCTGGGCATCTCCCTTCTGCAGTTCCTTCCCGAGTCCCCCCTCTGTCCCAGGACAATATTATTTTTATGCTGGCTTGCAAGTTCCCTAACCAGACAGCTTAACAGATCATCATTTTCTTGATTTCACTAAAAAATTCACTGACCACTCCTCTCCAAAAAACTGACCACAGAATCTAATGTAATAAAATGTCTGTTTTAGACTACAGATCTTAAAAAATTCTGTCTTATTTTAATTAAATAAAAAATAAAGATGCTATATCCTTGTAATCATAAAAGGAGGAAAACTCCACCAAAAGGGACTCCTCTCTCTTTCTTACTCGTGAATGAAACTTTGGGTGATTTAAAGCATACGTCTTAATCATGATCTGAGCTGATCCCTTTTCTTCCTCATTTCTTTTTTTTTCTTTACTTCTCTTTTTTTTTCCTGAGGAAGATTCACCTGGAGCCAACATCTCTTGCCAATCTACCTTTCTTTTGTGTATAAGCCACCATCATAGCATGCCACTGATAGACGAGTGCTGTAGGTCCGAACCCAGGTTGCTGAAGCAGCGTATACCAAATTTAACCACTAGGCCACTGGCTGGCCCCGCTTCCTCATTTCTTTTTACTTGTTTGTAATGTAAGCATATGCCACTCTTCCTATCCGTCAGCACATCCTGCTTTCCCTGCAAGTCCCTGTCCCACTCCCATGTCCTACTGTACAGCCAAATCCTATTGACCATTAAGCCTCAGCTAAAATGTCCCTTCTTCCCAGGAGCCTTCTCACTGCCCAAACTAGAATTAAGTATATGCAGTCCCCACTCTGTACCTCCTCGACTTTATATTCTTACTGGTGTTCCCTATAATCTTTATCATATTGTACTTTTGTTCAGTGTTAGCTTTGCTGGTATCCTCCTCACTAAATCGTAAGTTCCTAGAGAGCAGAGCCTGTGCTCTACCCATCTTTATGGGCTTTGCAAAACCCATAGCGTACATTGAACTCTAGTGAGTACTCGGTAAACGTTTGTTGAATTTAATTTAATTTACTACAGATTACGCTAACCACAGGGTGCTTCTATATTCAGCCCAGCTTTGGAGCAGTGGGATGCATGCAGTTGATTCATGTAACGTTGCAGCTGGAGTACAAATAATCATGATTCTTCTGCCTTTGTGGGATTGGTGTAGAGTTTTAATCAGAAGACTGAGCTAAGCAGTCTCCTGGCCCTTCTGAAATAGACTGGAGGGGAACACTTAGGCACCTGTTTCGTATGCACTTCCTGAGTAAAACATAGCTCAGGTTTGGTTAAGACATACTTTCTAGCTCTGCCAATTTTCAGCTGCATTAGAGGCCTTTTAAACTATAGGATGATGTTTTAAATCATTGCCTAGAATTTTCCTTTCAAGATACCTGAATGCCAAATGAATGCACTCCAAGTAATCAGGTGGTTTCATTACCAAAGCCCTGCGGATTACTATTCTCTCTCTCTGTGCCATCAGTAGAATGGTCATTCAAGTTAAATACATCAAGCTTCATTCATATTTAATGTTTGACTTGTTCTTGTAGGGCTCTTAATACAATAAAGAGCAATCTGGAATTTCTCATTAATGTGAGAATATATGTATATTAGTAATGCACATAGCCTTGTGGGTGTACATATATAGAGAGAATGCCCCATATGTAATAGCTGTCATTGAATCTGATAGAAACCAGTAGTTTTCAGATTTATTTTTGCTAGGGAATCTTTTATTCAATGGAAATCTTAAATGGAAACTCAACGTGGAAAACAAAAATGTTATGCTTTGAAGGAAAAAATGGTTAAGATTAGAAACATGATCATCTGAGATAGCTATTCAAACATATAAGAAGATTATATTTAGAAAGAAATACTTTTGAAAAAGTTTACTCTAAAACTCATCATTAATGACAAAAGTAACCCATACTTATTATAACAAATCCTACTATAAAGATGAAGTTAAAAATAGATTTCCCACCAACTAGATAACCACTGTTAAGAGTCTGGACTCCATCTTTCGGTACTCCTGTGCCCATTCATATACCAAACAGGTATCGATGGCCTCTGCACATGGCTGTTTTTACCTAATAGGTTGTCAAGGACATCATTCTGGGGCAGTCCATAAGGATAGAACTCATTTATTTTAATATTTCGAAAATTTTTGGAGTATGGATATACCATAATTTATTCCATTGAAGAGCTCTCAAGATTTTAATCTGGAAAAAAGGGAGTTTTGTTTTAAAACAAATCATTTACTTTTAGAGGTAAGGTGGTAACAAAAGAAATAACTCTTAAGGAAAACAAATTATTCTCTGGCTCCTAGCATTGCACACCTAATTATGGAAAAGCATTGGTGATCCATTTAAATGTAATAAAATCATCAAGATAGAGTTTTTATGTGTTTGATACACACAGGCTTCAGATTTAGGGTAGGGTTGAGTCCAGGATCTGTCATTTACTACTCTCTGAACTGAAGTCGATCAGATTACCTCTCTGCTTCCATTCCCTCATCTAAAATAGGGTGATGATAGTACTTACTTACAGAGCTGTTACGTGTGTTAAATGAGATGATGATGCATATACAGCAATTGACAGAATACCTAGAATATAATAGGTGCTCAATAAGTAAGTTTTGTATACATACGGATAGATAGATAGATAGATCGATCGATCGATAATTTTTTCAGAGAAGAGATCATGTCCTTCCAAAAAACTTTACATTTTTCCTCAGTTCTCCATCCTTCTCTTCTCTACCATTTCCACACTGCAGAGTTCTAGGTAATTCCATTGGGTTACCTGTAGTGGTAGATTAAAAATAATATGGTAAAATATGGTTCTGTGATGTTACTTACTTTGTTCTTCCCATGTCTCTACTTGCCTTCAATTTCACTTGCCCTTAAAAGCACATCTTCGGTTTCAAGATAACCTCTCAATATACAAATTCATTTCTTTTATCCATGTTTGCAGTCTTGAATTAAATCTATATTTTCCCAAGGGATGTTTCTCTAAATATCTATGAATATATAATTTAATATTTTTAAAGCATATTAGATAGTCTTTTGCAGGAAAAAGAAACCTTTCACTCTTCTGTTATAAGGCATCAAATGAGACAGTACATTTTATATTCTTTGAGATGATTCTGATTGTTCTTTATATAATATACACTGTCAAATATATAGAAAATAAGTTAGATTACAGAGCACAGCAAAGAAAGAAATAACTGATTTTTTGGCTGAGTGATTTAAAGAATGAAGGAATAAGTGACTAATAAAATAATTCCTTCAGGTAGCTGGGGGTGAAAGTCCAGGTGGCAGCCTAAAGTCTTTCTGGTTTATTCATATTTTAACTACATCATCTACAAAAATACAGGAATTGGACTTTATTTATTCTTTCTGTTAAACTTAGTGAATTCCCACTTTCTATATACTGTAAAGGAGTGAAGAAGACATCTAGTCTTATATGTAATACGTAAAAGTCCCTACATTCTAGCAACAAGACAGGAAACAAATACGCATAGAAACAAGACAATCTGAGCTAAGGATAAGCGTTATGAATGAAATAGAACAATGACTGGGGGCGGACAGAATGGCTTTAGTTAGAGAGGACAACGAGTCCTCTTTGAGGAGTTGATACGTGAGGAGGGATATAAATGATAAGAAGCCAGTAGGGGGAGAAATGTGGGAGGAATGTTCTGTGCAAAAGGAACAGCAAGAGTAAAGCATCCCAAGAGGAGAATGATTTGGGTGTATTCCTAGAACAGAATGCTAGGGCGTTGGGAGCAACGTGAACAGAATGCAGGCAGTAGGAGATGTGCTGGAGAGGTAGGCAGGGGCCAGCCAGCTCAGCAGTGTCTCTAAACTGTGAGGCTGTTTGCGTTTTGATCTGTTACAGAAATCCACTGGAGGTTTTCAGCAGAGTAGTGGCCTGATGAGATACACAATTTTGAAAGGTCACTGCTGTGAGAATGGACTGTATGTGGGTGAGAGATGAAGAGGCAAGAGTGGAAGATTGAAATGGTCCAAGAAAGAGTTGATGATGAATGGGACTAGGAGGGCAACAATGTTACGACAGCTAGAGAGACTGGTAACAAGAAAGAGAAGCCTAAGAATCAAGAAAGATTTTCACAAAGGAAAGAAATAAATTTTGCTCAGGGAGTCCAAGTATTGATTGTATCCATTCCTTCCGTTTACTAATCAAAAAACATAGCAAATATTGGATTTCAGAATGCTCCCTATTTGTTTAAAATAAGGATTTGGCTCAATAGCATGTAACACTGTTTTAACAAAATCAAAATTGATTCAATTTATAGCCCGTTAAGAATTAATGTGCAAAAATTGCATTAAACTATGTTGAACAAATCATGTCACAATTGACAGCTTGCTCTTTCTACCAAAGATTGCATTTTATTTGATGCAAAGGAGCTATAACATTAAATGCAAGAATTGGGGGTATATAATTTGGACTGCATACAAGTAATGATGATGATGATGACGATGCAACATTTAACATTTGCTAGTCTGTTATACTGTCATCACTCTTCTAAGCCCTAAAATAGGTAACTTTTAATCTTCACAATAATCTCATAAGACTGATACTGTTCTCCCCACTTTTACAGAAAACAGAT